TCTCCCTTGTGACCTGAGGCCAAAATGGAAGTATGTCTTGGAGTGTTATTGCTGGCCTGTAGGCAGGAGAACTAGGCCTACTCAAATGATTTTTCCCTAGAATTATGTAGCATTGCTCCCAACATGACGTTACCCTACAGCAGTGACTGTTGGAGAGAAAGCCATGGAGACAGACTTGGAGAGGGTAAGTACTAGACACAGATTCCCCCCAGACCCCCTGAAAAGCTCAAGGTCAGACTGAGAGGGACTTGGGGCCTGCATTCTGTGGTAGGGGGAAAGAATCAGTGGGTTTGACTTTCAGAGGTGGCTGGATCTGAAGGTGATGGCACTGAGTCCAGCGATCTGCTTGATCACCTGCCCTGATGCCCATATCCAGAGGAGACCAGGGGTCTGACTGTTTCCCTGTGTATCAATGTGAGTGGGGACAAGTGTTGGCTTGGACAGTTGCCATGGACTTGAGTTTATAAACAGGTGACCTCTTGAGCAAAGGGGTGACCTCATAAATCTATAGGCTATAAGCAGGGCAGAGAGGATGATGACTTGCTGGATTCCAAAAACCACTCGTATAAATACATAGGAATTATTTTTTCTTTCTTCTTTTGAGCTTTGAGTTTTGTTGTTACTGTTATTTTGGGGTTTTTTGGGGGAGAGATCTGGTTTTTTTTTTTTTTGAGATAGAATCTCCCTATGTAGTTCAGCCTGGCTTTGAACTCACTATGTAGTTCAGGCTGGCCTTGAACTTGTGGTGATCCTCCTGCCTCAGCCTCCCAAGTGCTGGGATTACAGGTGTGTACCACCATGCCTGGTCCAGTTTTGGGGGTCATTTTGTTTTGTTTTTTTGGAGAGTTTCTTTTGGTGGTGTTTAGAGTTTCCTCTCCCATTTTCTTATGATCTTTCTTTATTTGTTTAATTAGGTCCTCTTCTTTTTTGGGGAGAGGTTTGGAAACAGGATCTCACTATGTATTATATAGTTCACACTGGCCTTTAACTTACTATGTAGCCCAGGCTGGCCTCAAACTCATGGTGATGCTCCTGCATCAGCCTCCTGAGTGCTGGGATTACAGGTGTATGTCACCACACCTGGCTCATAGGTCCTCTTCTTTGTTTCTTTTCTTAGTTTCTTAATTTGTTCCCTTATTATTACCAATTTTTTTTCCTTTAGTTTATGCTCCATTTTTTATTATTTATACTTTTCCTTGTTGTTTTTTCTGTTACTTTTATCTAATACTACTAATTTTCTTTTACTCCTTAATTCAGGTTCTCATTCCCTCCTACCTCTATGCTTATAAATGTAATCATTAAGCATTATGAATCTATAGATAGTTAAATATATCTTACTATGATTGAACACTATTTTTTTTTTTTTTTTTTTGGTACCGGGGATCGAACTCAGGTCCTTGCGCTTGCACAGCAGGTGGTGAAACCACTGAGCTAAATCCCTGGCCCGATTGAACACTATTATATTGTTAATGAAGTTCTATCGAGTAGATATTTACTGTAGTTCAATATATAGATTGTCTTAGTGTTTATTCTATAACTATAGATCACTTTCCTATGGTTGAGGGTGGTACATTATTAGTTTTAGCAGTTGTCAACATCCAGTTTATAGTTGATACTATTGTTAGTGATTTTAGTACTTTAACCAAAGTAACATATTTGATACTATCCATTGGTTTTCTTCATGTGCCAATATCTGGATTGCCTGAGAATCATAAACAATACTGCTGCTCATTCCCAAAGAACTGGGTACTGGGATAAATAAGCTGTAACCACCCTTTGCAAATAAATAGAGGTGGTTGGATCCTGGGACAGAGGCAAAAGTCAATAGTTAGGCCTAGAGGACATCTCTGAAAAGTAGACAATAACTAAAAAGGTCTCCATAATAGCAACAAAGCTACCCACTATAATTCTGTAAGTCTCAGCACAGAAAACAAAGAAAAAATACAAACATGAGAAAACAAGGCAATAAAATACCTCTAAAAATTCCCAACTCCCCCAAAGCCAATGCAGGAGGGACCACAGGGAACGAAATTAAAAGCCACACAAAATAACTGAAAGGATAATTGCGGAGGTTAAAAAAAAATCAATAAGGTCTTTGGAAAATTCAAGATATAATTAGATGGATAATGATTCTACTGAAAGAAATGATCTGCAAGTCTAGAGAACACACATGAAAAGCTAGAGAAGCTAAAGAAAGTAATGCAAATCATGAATGCCCAGCATAGAAAAGAATTGGATTCTATAAAAAACCCCAAACAGGAATCCAAGAGATTAAAAATTCTATTGAGGGGCCAGGGATTTAGCTCAGTGGTTTCACCACCTGCTATGCAAGCGCAAGGACCCGAGTTTGATCCCTGGTACCGAAAAAAAAAACCAAAAAAAAAAAATTCTATTGAAAGTATGGGCAGCAGAAATGACCAATTTGAGGACAGAGTGTCAGATCCAGAAGACAGGGATATGGATGGTGATCAATCAATAAGAGACACCATACAAACAACAAGATAACATGAAACATGGATCCAAGAGCTTCCAGATGATCCAAAAAAGGCTAATTTAAGATTAATCAGAATTAATGAAAAATCAGAAGACAGCACAAAGGCATAAAAAACTGTTTACAAAAGTAATAGAAAACTTTCCATATGGAAAAAGAATTTAATGTACAGATGAACACGGCACATAGAGCCACAAAAAGCCATGATCAGAAAGGAACTAACCCAAGACACATCATGGTCAAATTAACAGAATTCCAACACAAGAATAGAATTTTAAAAGCTGTTTGAGAAAAGCTATGAATCACTTATAAAGAAAAAACCTATCAAAATTACAACAGATTTTTTCAACACAAACCTTAAAGTCAAGGAGAGATTGGAGTGAAGTATTTCAAGCACTAAAAAGAAGTAACTTCCAGACCAGGGATTTAGCTCAGTGATGCCGTGCCTGCCTCGCAAGCGCAAGGTCCTGAGTTCAATCCCCAGTACCAAAAAATAAATAATAATAAAAAACTTCCCAGATTCATATATCCTGCAAAATTATCTTTCAAAATTGATGGAGAAATAAGATATCGCCATGATAAAGAGCACCTAAAGAAATTATTGACTGCCTAACCAGCATTCTAAAAAATTCACAAGAATATCCTAGAAAGACACAATGACACTAACACTGCTAAAAGGCCTAATAGAATGAATGTACCAGGCAGGGCAAGCAATTAAGTAGAAGAGAAAGAAAAATCAGCAGTAGTAAAATAATATAATAGGAATGAGTCAATACCTATCAGTTATAACCATAAATGTTACCAGTCTCAATTTGCCAATCAAAAGACAGAGTAGCAGAATAGATGAAGAAACAAGATCCAACAATATGCTGTATACAAAAAAACCCCACACTTAGCCTCCCCCCCAAATTCATAGACTATAAATCTAAGGATGGAAAACATTTCATAGAACAGAAACCCCCAAACAAGGAAGAGTAGTAGCTATTCTATTTTCAGACAAACTGGACATTAAGCCAAAATTGATCAGAAGGTACAAAGAAGGTCACCACATGTTGGTTATGGAAACCATTCAACAGGAAGAGATAACAATTATTAACATTTATGCACCAAACACTGGTGCACCCAACTTCATAAAGCAAACACTGCTGGACCTAAAAGATTACATAAATAATGCAATTACAGTGGAAGACCTCAATACCCCACTATCACAAACACACAAATCAGCTAAACAACAACAAAAAAATCAACAAAGAAATATCAGAGCTGGGGCCAGGGGTTTAGCTCAGTGGTTCCACCGCCTGCCTTGCAAGCCCAGGGATCCAAGTTCGATCTCTGGTAGCAAAAAAAAAAAAAAAATCAGAGGGCCGGGGATTTAGCTCTGGTTTCGGCGCCTGCTACGCAAGTGCAAGGACCTGAGTTCAATCTCTGGTACCAAAAAAACCCCAAAAATAAACAAACAACAACAACAAAAATCAGAGCTAAAAAAATCTTCCAACAAATGGACTTTT